GTGTGCATTGAATTTATTTAATACACGAGTTTCACAATTTGAGTTGAATTACTGAAATAAATTAACTTTTCCATGACATTCTAATTTATTGAGATGCACCTGTATATGATATATAAGAATATGAAATTATTGTTATTTCCTTTTTTAATCAGATTAATGATTGCTATGACTTATTTTTAGTTTCATTGTTTTTGGCAATTGTAAATTAAATTCAAGTGATTATTAACTGTACCTATATTTACATCATGCTCTTCTTTAAAGTTCTTTCATAAAGTCTTGTGTAATAGTTTGTTGAAAGGTTTTTTTTTTTTTTTACAAATCATTCCATTATCAATAAAAAGGAGTTTACAAATGTAAACGTGTTGTCGGATGTAGAAAACAAGTCAAATATGAGTAGACATTGTGTTTAATAGAACAAAAGAGGTCTGGAAATGCATGTCTGACGAATAAAAGAACGCTATGTACTTGGCTCAGGGTTTCTCAAAGAGTCTGACATTCTCCTTGACAACCAAATGCAAACTGGGGAGCAGTTGAGGCATCATCCTCATGCAGACCCATGTGTATGTGGCTTTGCCCTGTGAGACCATCGGCTTCAGAAAATGCGCTTGTCTCATACTAAACAGATGTGCATAGTTTTTCCTGGGTGATTTATACAGGCAGAATAGATACAGAACAAGTTTCTGGGTTCACTCAAACCCTGACTGACCCAGCATGGGACAGATTATTATAAAAAATATATTCTGAATTAATGACAATAATTAAAGATGTCTGTACAGTCTATTGTTATTATTATTATTACTATATTTAATTTTTAACATTAAGAGAGGATTCTGTTTCCGAGGGATGGGGACGGGTGTAGGGGGATAAATGAAAGTAATCAAACAGTTTTTCAATTGGTTTAAGCTAAACAACAGTTTCTTTGCAGAAATCCTTGAGTCTTGCTTCTGTTCTATTTGAATGTGACCATATTCTTTCCTATTCCATTTGTTGAGCAAGATAACAGTGTAATGCTAGGAAAAACGTGACCTGGTTTCTTAGAGGTGTGTGCATGCCATGTGCTGGGAATGCCTCTTTCAAGGAATGACAACCGTGAAAAAGATTGTCATCAAACAGCTACTCCCAGGCTTAAGTGGCATGTTATTCACTCGTGAAGCCTCCTCAGTGTACTAGCAATAGGGGCTGTCCATGGTGCTGAAAAGTAATTACAATAGGCTGTACTTACAGCTAAGAGCCACTCTTGTGCTGGATAAATTTCAGATGAATGTTATAGTGCAAAGTCAATGTAATAAATGCAGCATTACAAAAATGTTTCTTATATCAACATATATCTCAGCAGGTATCTCACCACATTTTAGGAATAGTTCACCCAAAAACTCAAATTTGCTGAAAATGTATTCACCCTGAGGCCATTAAAAACATAGATGTGTTTGTTTCTTTATCAGAACAGATTTGGAGAAATTTAGCATTACATCACTTGCTCACCTTTGGATCCTATGCAGTGAATGGTTCTAAACAATGTCAGTGGATTTTGATGTGGGAGGACAACAAAAGATAGACTTTTTCCCTGGAAGAAGTGTTACTATGGATTGTGGACTTATATTTTGGCCAGAAGTGACAGTTTAAAGTAAAAAAAAAAAAAACCCTAATGATGTTTTTTTTTTTTAACAAGACATTAATTGCTGGACTAGAGTCATGTGGATTACTTGTGGATTATGGTGTTTTTATTAGCTGTTTGGACTCTCATTTTGACGGCACCCATTCACTGCAGAAGATCCATTGGTGAGAAAGTGATGCAATGCAAAACTGTGAAGAAACAAAATCATCTACATTTGAATGGTCTAAGGGTGAGAACATTTTCAGCAAATGTACATTTTTGAGTGAATGTTTCCTTTATGGTATGTACATTGTTCTCAGTAAAAAAAAAAAAAAACACAATGAATACTGATGAATATAGAGATTATTGCATCTTCTGGTCATACAATTTATCTATTTTGCACTAACACCATTTGGCACATGCAAGAGCAGAATGGCTGGTTCAATAGGTCAGTCAAAACACTGTATTTATACAGCATTAAATAGTGTGTGCTGCTTCCATAGCTTAATGTAAAATAATGAGTATATTATGATAAGTGATGTCTATTAGCATTTCAGTGGCACGGTTCCTGTGGCACGCCATTAAGTACAGATGCTCCCATGGCTCACATGTCCACAAACCTCCATTAGCATTAGGAAGATGCAGAAACCCAAATTACTCTTTCAAATAGCTCTTTGTTTACAGAGAAAATATCACACTCTCGCAATGGAGGAAATATCACTTAGATTTATTTTCATGACATTAAAGGCTATTTGGGAGATAAAACAGTAATGGACAAGGACTTGTTCTTAAATGTTGGCACATTTCAGACATTTACACAAGAGTATTATTGGGTTTATGAAGTACAGTAGTTTTTTGAATTTATGATTTATCTTACCAATTCTGCTTCTTCTGTCACTTTTTTAACTACAAATTTTTCTCCTTTGTGCAATCATACATTTCCTCACATGTTGTTGTGTTGTAGCTTGTGAACAGCAAGATAATATTTAGTTTTTGAACAAAGTATACAGTTAATACATGTTAAAGCATATGATGTGTTGTATTTTGTATTTATAAGTGCTGATAAAAACATCACAATAATCCACAAGTAATTCACATGACTTCAGTCTATTGGTTTAATGTCGTTTGAAGTGAAAAGTTTCTTGTTTGTACGAAACAAATTCATAATCAAGGCATTTTAACTTTAAACCGTTGTTTCTGGCCAGAATAGTTTGTAGTCCATAGTAATGCTTCCTCCAGTTAAAATGTCCATCCACTGCTGTCCTCTCACATTAAAATTGACTAACATATTTGTTTAGAACCGTTTTGGACTGTTTTTGTTTGTAAACATTGCTTGATCTGCATTTCCCTTTCAAGGGAACTTCGAACTGCGTCCTCTAGGGGTCGCTATGGGGAATGCCTTGTCGTGACCCGTGTCTGAAGCATACATTGAAAAAACACCAATATCCCATTGGCCGGCGACAGCCCATGACATCACTACCGGTGCGATTATAGTATAAATAGGCGCCGGGAGCACATGTCATTCTCGTCTTCATCTTGACTGACCGTTTTGTTTGAAGCGTGCATTTCCGTGGTAAGAGCGATCTATATTCCTATCGTTATGGCGAGCAGTAGCAAAGCGTTTAGAGGGATGCGTGCATCCGCGTCTCGTTATTTGACACCTGATGACACACACGATTTCTGCGTTGTTTGTTTGGGCAAAGAGCACGCACGCGATGTCCTTGAGGGGGCAATCCGCGTTCATTGCGAGTGTATTTTAATTAAAAGCGCCGCTCTCGTTTGTCTGTCTTTTCGAGGAAAGGGGGGCAGCCATCTGCTTCCCGCGGCTCAGGACCCACCGCTGCTGAGGCACGGAAGAGGATGGGCTCGTGGGGATTGCAGGTGGATCCGGCTGATGAGTTTAAAAAGGGGTTTTGCTTCTCGCGCTCGTCGGCTGTGGACGAGAGTAAGCTGCTGGAGGATGATGTTATTTCTTTAACATCGTTTGATCCGGGGGCCGGTGCTCTGCTGGGTTCGGCCCGGTAAGAGCAGGAGATGTCTGAGGACGGCGAAGAAGCTGAGGCTGAGCCTTCCCAATCCTCCTGGATAAAGTCACGGACAGCCGTCTGACGTCCCAGGGGCAACTCACCATGAAAATGGTAAAGTTGGTACTTAGTGCTCGCCATGGTTCTGGCCCGCACTCCCCTCAGCATGGCGGCGTGGGTATATTGTTCCCCATAGTGACCCCTAGAGGACGCAGCTCGAAGTTCCCTACTCAGGGAACCATGGTTACATAAGTAACCTGAGACGATTTCTCTCCTGATTCAGACGAGATTACTTTTCACTGGAGAAAGCAATATTATGGATAGAGGACTCTTATTTTTGCTGGAAGCAATGGTTTGAAGTTAAAATGCCTTAATGATTGATTTGTTTCTTGCAAACACACATCATTTCACTTTAAAAGATGCTAATTGATGTACTGGAGTCGTGTGGATTAGTTGTGGATTATTGTGATGTTTTTATCAGCAGTTTGAACTCTCATTCTGACGGCACCCATTCACTGCAGAGGATCCATTGGTGATCAAGTGATTTAATACTAAATTTCTCCAAGTTGGTTCCGATGAAGAAACAATCTCATCTAGATCTTGGATGACCTGAGGGCAAGTAAATATTCAACTCATTTTTATTTTGGATAAAATATTAATTTAAGTCATGTTGCGGTTCAAAAAAAGCATGACTTTTAAAGTTGACCTTTAACCAAGTTAAATTCGACTCCTTGTTTCTCCTGCCGCTGATGGACCACTAATTAGAAGCTGTTGTTTTCCTTTAATAACATA